ATCTTTATTACATGTTAATCATCAATTTATCACTTTTAGCTCATCTGTATTATTCTGCTCCATTAACACATTCATTTTATTGTGATAGATTTCTATAATAAGTTATATTACATGATTTATAGACTTGATAATGACTCTGCAATGTGATTGGCCGATTGTTTTTATTCTAAGTTAAAGTTAATCTACTGATGCATCCAGTCTGTCCAAGTGATGAATTTATCTTTATTTTAAAGTCTGAAAATGAGAACATCATGATGTTTGATGCTGCAGAGCACGGATTGTTTACATTGAGATCGGTCTAACTAGGGAGTACCAATATGGCGGCCGGTGGCTTCACTTCCACCCCGTACCTCCAACAGGTAATCAGCAATCACCCTCTGATTGGTCGGTTTGTGTTTTAAAGAGATATTCAGTTCCTGTCAGCTGGACAATGATTGTTGGTTAGACCAAAGGAGCTTCATGCAGACTCACTCCTCAGAGCTGTGAGCAGCGTGACCTTTGCCCTCTGCTCTAAATCCAGCTGCTGCAGCATCTGTGGGACCAGCTGACCTGCAGCTGACCTCTGCTGACCTGCAGCTGACCTCTGCTGACCTGCAGCTGACCTGCAGCTGACCTGCAGCTGACCTCTGCTGCGCTGCAGGACATCACAGGAGGAGCTGCAGATCTCCAGGCTTGAAGAAAGGCTGATGCAGGAACCTGCAGCTCTGCTCTGCAGGAACGTTGCTGCTGTCGTCGTGTTTCCTGCATGTAACCGAGGCTCTGCTCCATCATCCAGAACCATCAGTCCCAGTTCACCCACTCTGGGTTCATCCCACCTCTGCTGCCACCAGATTAGGTCCTGAACTGATCCTGTTATTGGTTCCTTTATTTGCTCATAAAGGAAATGTCCTGTCCGTCATAGTCTGACCTATGAACCCAGCATGGACTCCAGCTGGGAGGCTCTGCTGCACCACAAACGACCTGCAAATTCAGGAAAAGATCAAATTCCCAGCTTCAGAGATTCCAGCAGGTTTTGATGAGCAGCTTGGAGCCGTCAGCCGATCAGGATCAGTCTGTCTGCATCCAGCTGTTTCCAGATGTCAGAGGGCGGATCCCAGAGCCGCTGCAGCATCAGAGCCTCAGGATGGAAGCTTCCTGCAAACCTTCAGCTTTCCTCCTGGAAGGGAAGCGGCTCAGTCTGAGGCAGACCTCCCTGCAGCTCCTCTCAGTCTGAGGCAGACCTCCCTGCAGCTCCTCTCAGTCTGAGGCAGACCTCCCTGCAGCTCCTC